TCTTTCCCGTTGGAAGATACGTTGGTAACGGATTAGGTTTGCTTTAGTCATGTCAGGATCAGCCCCGGAGGAAGCTCAGACCTCCATCCCTCAAAGCGCAGCTAGCGTTCCCGATCCTGCTCCGGTTGCTGTTGGACCTGGAGGCTCAAGTGACGTCTCCTTTGGTGAGCACAATCTTAGCTTCACCACCACAGACCTCAGCCTGGTGGAGATGACGGAAATAGAGTACACCCAGCTCCAGCACATGCTTTATTCCCATATGGAGGCACAAGCTAGTGAAGGTGAAGTGGAAGCTAGGCTCAATTCTGCTTTCTTCTCAGCTGGTAATTCTGCAGACCCCCCTCTGCACCAGGCCTCGCTGAACGCCAGCCAAGATGGGTATTCATCAAACAACGCTGGGAACCAGTCAGTTTTCCCAGTGATCTGTCAGTCAGGATTGCCTTCTGACGGCAGTTTGCTAAGTTCAAACCCCTGTGTGGGCCATATTGACTTTCAGGAGCTCCGAATGATGTTACTTAGCGAGTCCAATCTCCCTTTGAACCAAGCAGATAAAACGCCTAACAGTAGCTCTGTAGAAGTCCCAGGACACGGTTTAGTAAGAGTTAAACACAGCGACAATGTTGTTGGGACGAATAAAGAAAACGTACTTGTTGACAATTCAGCGCTGGCACCAGAGTCTAGATCTAAGTCTGCAGTCAGAGTTCGATTGGAAGACCGATTCAACAGCATCCAGACAGAAAACCCCAGGTGTCAAGAACCCCAAGACTCTGGAGTAACTCTTAACAAGTGTGTTGGAATTAATTTCAGTTCATATTGTTAAGCTATGTATTTTCATATAGCCCAGAATTGATTTGCTTAGTTAAACCTATGAGCAGTACTGTTTTTCATATGTAAAATGAGGAGCTGGGCTTTTTAAACTGCACTGTTGACCTGTGAATAGGCCCTTCTGTATATTGCATAAATAAAAGTAGTTACAACAAAGATAGATAAAAAATGAATTACTTTACAACTCTTTTTTGATAACAACATGCAATGGAGAAGAACATTGCATAGTTTTAATGTGTTACTAAAAGCAGGGTAGATTTTAGATCACAACAAAGTATTGGAAACGGATTAATGATGTAGTTTGGAGGCCTGACTATGGGAAAACCTTCTTACAACAATCCTATGTTAGAATCTGTCCCTGTAACTGTATTAGTGTGCTGGCAAAACATTTTATTGAAGGGAAAAGCAGAAATGTTACTGCACAGAATGCGTTCTCAGCTGATCTTTGTTTTTGTCACCAAAATAGGTGCTAGCCGATAATAATGATTTGTATTTATAATAAATGAAAGTGGTTTCTTGATGATAGTTACTAGAAGTGTGTGTACCTGCAAATTTTTCTTCCCTCCTCATTTTCAAGTAGTCAGTCTTGGCCTGTGTGTTTTTTGTTTTGTTTTGTTTTGTTTTGAAGTTTAGTAACATTGATCCGGCAGCCATCGGAACTGATGGGTGTTCCTCTTCACCAGCATCAGAATAAGTGTGCTACGTTAGTGAAAAATAAGGCTGCAGCTGCAACTACTGCTTTACAGTTCACATATCCATTATTTACTATGAATGCGTGTTCTGCTACTGGAAGTGCTAATGCTTCACAAATACAGGTGGGTAATATTTGCTCTCCTAGCTATACTGTGCTAATTTCAAATGCTGACAGTTTTAACTAACACCTTTTAGGTGTAAGATAATTCTAGAGGTTTGTGTTAAAATGTTTGATCGTTTTTGGTTGGTTTGAATAGAATGATTTACAATGTAATTTGTTTGTTCTTATGTTAGTCTTTAAGATCATCAAAAGTACTTATCCTAACCAATTGTGCGGCAGTTAGTTACCTCGTCTGTAATAACGTGCAGCCAGGTAACATGATCAGTAGGCCATTAGCTGTCTTACTAGGAAAATCTTTTTTTTCTTGAGTTTGTGGGTGTGTATACGCTTCATCTACACAAGACGAGAAGGAAACGGTTAGCAATTACAATTTTCCAGTTCCTTTTTTTCTAACTAACTAACTAACTCATTTTGATGAAGAAGATTTTTTTTTCCCCACTCACAATAACCTATCCAGCAAGAATAATAGCATGGCACTCAGGAAATGCCAGAGGTATAACAACACAATTCAGCAGTCAATTAAAATCCCATGCTTGTGATACAGAAGTAATTGGCATTTGTTCTGATACAACGCATTGAATCATGGACCTAAAACTTAAGAAGTTCACCTGAAGATACCAAAATAGTCTCTTCTTTATGTGTGTATATATATAAAAGCCTCTAAGTATTTTTCTTTTTTGTTTTTCACAGACCTCTGGGACATCATGCACTATTTTGGAAGCTACCAAACATCAAGACCTTGGGTTACCTAGAACATTCTCTTTCTGCTATCATCAGGAAATTGAATCCACGAAACAGACAGTAGGTGCTAGGAATAAAGCTTTGCCTGAGCAAGTTTGGATTAAAGTTGGAGGTAAACCATTTAGCTTCTTTTCACTTAGTTTTCTGTGCCCTTCATTTTCAATTGTGCATTTTTTTCCCCAAATTTCTGTATTTTCTACAACAAATACGATTTTACTGACTCTTACGAGATGTGGTCACTATGTCTGACACATGCTGTAGGCACTATGGGACTAGATTTCTCAAAAAAAATGTTCAACACAAGATCTTAGCTATACTCTCAAGATTGTTAAGCACTGCTAGCTTGAAATGAGAAAACCTGATGCTGCAAAGTACCTTTGAAAACCTGGACCTGTTCTAAGTAACTGGATTCTGTCTACTCTTTCTGACCCAAAAGTTGGTAGCAGATCCGGTTGATATCAAAGTCGAGAACGTTTAAAGGCCTTCCTCAAAGGTTAATTAAGGACAGGCGTTATCTCAATAAGTTCCTTGACAAAATAGAAACTAGATGGATTTTGAAGCAGAAAGCAGTGCATTAGGGCTTCCTAAGGACAGATGTTGCTATAAGAGTCAATCTAGGGTGGAAATAAAGCTTCCAAGATTACTCCACTTACTTACTTACTTAAATAAAATGACAAAAAAAAAAAGTTTTCAGTGATCAATTATTTGATCAGAATTGCAATAGTAATAGAAGGGTTATAAATAAGGTTCTTCTTTTCCTCTTTTGTTTTGCAAAGAAGACGCCTTATGCAAGCAAGCAATAACTAAGAGAAGTCGCAGCCGAATAAGCCCACTGGATACAAATGTAGATCGAAAACCTCTTAGTGAAATTCAAAATATGCGTGATAGCCAAAGTACTGCATCTGCGCAGGGTCCTTGGCAGTCAGCCCAGTCAAATTCAAGTGTACAGGTGCAAGGTGGGACGCAGGAAGGAATCTCTCAGCGAAGGGAAAGGCATAACCGCATGGAAAGAGACAGAAGGTAATGTCTATGAATGAGGAGCTGCTGTACAAAGTTTTTGAAGCCTAAAATACGGATACTGTAAAACTACCATCATTATCTAGAGTAAAAGGTAAATTTGACATATTTTGTTTTACGTATAAGAAAAAACAATGCAGAGGATGAAGTATTTGGTGTTTGTTAGAGGACAAAAAAAATGGATGGTGGGCTTTTTTTGCCTTTTTTTTTTTAACTCTGTGAGGAAAAAGAGGAGATATTTCAAAACATTTAACAAGTTAGTTATATAAAGATAGCTTGCGTATAACATGGCTAATACACAAACATGACGCCTGTAGCTAACAAAAGCTAAAACCTTAAGAAAAGGCCCCAAAGGCCATGACTGGTGGCACATGTGAGTAGTCTTTTTTCCTTCTTCTTCTTCTTCCTTCCTTCTTTCGCATCTGGATGATAACGTTTACGTTATCGTAACGTAACGTATTTGTCTATAGGCGCAGAATCCGGATTTGTTGTGATGAACTGAATCTTCTGGTTCCCTTCTGTACTGCTGACACTGATAAGGCAACAACTTTACAATGGACAACTGCATTTCTGAAGTATATTCATGAAAGGCATGGAGACTCACTGAAAAAGGTTTTTAAAATCTAACGTCGTTTTTGTTCTTGATAAAAACGTGAAATATTTTAAATCCATCAGACCATAGCTAAAAGCGTATGCCAGGCTTTTGCTGGCTGCTATTTACTTTATAAGGGACCAATATAACAGTAAACATGCCTTTAAACGTTTTTTTGATTCACACCTACATACCCTCACAATCTCAAAGCCTGTGAACATAGTAGAGGGCTACGTGCCCTATAAGCAGCTCCTAGGCTACCCCATCTGTAGTTGCAGCCCAAGAGTATCTTAAGAGAGCTGATGGTGTATGCATAGAAAACCTGCTTATCGAGATACGTGTAGAGCCCCTTACCATTTCCTGTTAAAGGTGTATTGTATGGTTTCATTTCACTAGTGTCTTGAAAAACACTATCTTGCATAAATACCCATATTAAATGTAATCATTTTTGTATTTTGATTTTTAGGAATTTGAGACTGTATTCTGTGGTAAAACAGGCAGGAGACTAAAAATAGCAAGATCAGATTCATTTGTAGCATGTCCAGTGCAGGAAAACACGCATGGCTATGGAGATCAAGTAGTCTGAACTGACCACCTTGAATTGCGTGAAAAGTATGGCTAACTAACAAGGATCCAAACTGCTTTTTTTTTTTTGTTGTTTTTTGTGTTTATGTGCTGGGCTTGGTCTCGTGGGATTAATTTGACAGGCTCCAGGATTGTCTTGCAAAATACAGTGTAGCATTACATAAATAGAGCATTAATTAAAACATGCTTTATTCAAAACGGAAATGAAAAAGTAACTACCAACAGTACCACTCAGTTCTCTGCTAAAGGGGCTTCGGTACCAGAGGCCCCAAGAAAACGTTACACCACCTACTGAGTATTTCCCCTCTTTAGTTAACAAACATCCACTCTTTTTCTGTTTGTCATTCTGCATTGCGCTTTTTTTTTTTTTTTTAAACATGGCAAGGTACAGCTAGGGAGTGTTGTAGAATATCAGTCTATCTGCCCGTTAATGACTAGATGCAAATACATTCTTTAAGTGTAAAAAGAAATTAAAGGTACTATTATAATGCTCATTTTTTCCACTAAAAGTTATATTAGTTAATTGAATAAGTGCATAGTTTCTAAATTGTACTGATATTATGAAGTTCACATTTGCTATGCATATTTTAACACATTCCTCCCAAGAGTAATACAATGCTGTTAGCATTGTTTTTAACGTACAGTACTAATTTTAATGTTTATCACACAACTGTCCAACAGTTTATTGTATTGTTACTTTAGTCCAAAAGTGGCATATTGTAAACAGTAGATTATTTAAAGGCACAAGCTATTTTCATGTTTAAAGATTAATATGGCTCTGTTGTTCATAAACTGCAACATTTAGGACAGAAATAGAATAGTTTGTGAACTGAGAGTGGCTTTATTAATTTTCTTTTTTAAATAGATGACGCTAACAGGTTTTAAAGTACAAAAATGTCTCCAAAATAAATAGTGTTTTAAATCACGGATATTCACAATTTTGCAGCAATTTATTTCCAAACAATCCTAGTTAAAACAGTTCAGCAAAATGGAGCTCATCAAAGCATTGATGTTTATAATGACACTTACAGCATCACAAAGAAAAGGTTAAAAAAAATCTCCTTTTATTTTTACAACAGTTCATACAGGTTTTTTTTGGCTGGTCTTTAGAAGAGCATCCCTTCCTATTTGGGGTTTCATTCACAATTCCTGTGCAAATAGCTTAAGTAGAGGTCATGAGAATGCTGTTACTTAATTTCCTTTATTATTATTTGGAAATATACAAAAATTCTCCCCTGTAAATTAAAATATATACATTACACCTTTTGCAGAATCTGATTGCAAGAAGTTTACTAGTCTTGGCAAATATTTGAGGCGCAATCAGAAGCCTGAGAATAGACAGGAAACATACATGGGCTATGATCTTCACTTAGGCTGTAGTCCAAAAAGATATTGGATATTTAAATGCCTAATTTCCATTTATGTAAAAAGCATTTAGGAGCCTAAATAACTGAACAGTTTGGACTTCAGTGCATGAACTAGTGTAACTGAAGTCAGTAGGAGCAGTACCAAGGAATTCAGTTGGCTCAAATGCTTGTACAGAATAGCCATGGTCTTTAGTACAGTTAGGGAGATGATGGTAAAAAGGAACAACGCTTCCTCTTGCAGGGCTCTTCAACAAAGGGAGAAAGGGAAGGTGAGATAGTTTAGCAGTAAAGATTCTGGAAGGTAACTGGGGGAGGAGAAAATATTCAAAGCATAAAAGTTTTTGTCTGATGCTTTTTTTTTCCCTCATAGAACTGAATTACTATGTCAAAGTCTCCACTTAATTCATTTTAATAGAAGGAACATCTGTCCATTTATCACTAGGAGGATTCTCTCTGTTTTCTTACAATGCACTGTTTGTTTAAATATTCAGTCACTTCTCCACTTCTTGTAATGTTGTTTTATGATTTTTTGGAAGTTGATGCTCCAACAGCTCCCATGCAAGCTGATGTGTCACATATTCCTGGAGTTCCCTGAGCCCCAATAGCACCAGGAGTACCAGGATCCCCTGGAAGACCGGGTTCACCTTGAGCTCCATCCCGACCATTTTTACTTATTCCAGGTACACCAGGTGGTCCTAAACAAGAAGGGGAAAAACATTTCTTGAAATATTATCTTCCTCCCTTCCTTTTTTATTTTCAAAAGAAAATTTGTTTCTATTTTCAAAGTTATTAAAATACTTTGAGCGTCTAATACATCAGATTTGTTATGGCCTATTGGTACAAGGTGTTGATTAAATTTAGCCTAGATCTGGAGTATGTGCATTGGATTTATTAGAGTACCTTTGGATTTACTGGAATTATCTTGGTGTAGTTGAAGGCAGACGCTTGGTACTGCACATTTGTTACTGTCTGTATCTGACTCCTGCTGACCATTCTAAAAGGCGGTTCTCCATCTTTGTACTACCTCAGTTAGTATATCACTCCGTGAATAACAGTAGTTAATTTGTAACCCGAATTGTTCTGCATGGTCCCTGAATAGTGTGCTCAAGGGATGCATTAGATGTGTAAGCTTACGGCTCACTTAGAGCGCTTATAAGAGCGCGCATCTCTGTCTCTCCTTCCTGGCCCAACTTGCGCCGTAATGGTCTAAGACAGAGGCAGAGAGGTTTAGCCCTTTCAATTCATTCTGCCACCCAAAGTCTAGTAGTAATTAAGACTCTCAATAAGGGTAGAAGAACAGAGAGAATGATGATAAAGAACATCTCCTTGTCATTACAGATACGGAGCTTCCTTTACACCTGTGTTTAATTTCAAAAATTTGTTCATGTTGAAATGTATGTTTTGTTTATTGGCAAAAATAATTTCTGCTTAGGAAAGACCCAAGCTATTTTTGGATTGCTTTTTTCCTTCAAATGCCAAACATAATTCAGAAAACACTCATTTCTATAACAAGAATATGTCTGATGCAAGCTACTGAAGCTTCCTGAAATGCTGTACAATAGGGTTCTGTCCATCTTAGGGACAGGCGTATCAGGTAGTCTATAAGCCTGCATTCCTATCTTAATTATGATAAAAAGTGCCTGATCCTGTTTATTCATAAGTGAAGAAATGCAGCTACTGTTGATCTTATGTTTCATGAGTAGGACAGATGCTTTCAGTATCTTAATATGTGCAAAACAGCGTCTTTGTTTTCTTTTCCAAAGCCTGTACATGTTTATGGATTAATGCACTTATTTTATGGAGACAACTGGGTATAAGTATTCTGTTTTTGTGAAATTCTGTGGGTGGAGAGCCTGCTTTTGGTGCCTGTAACTTATTCATTGTGCAGATGTAATCACAATTAGAAAACTGTTTTAATGGGTAAGCAAAATAAAGAATATTCTTTCAGAGTTTCTAATAGATATTCATTAATTTCAATAAATGAACCTCTGAATCCTCTGATGAAGGATTCATGACCTCAGGAACTGGGTTTATAGCTAGGTACAGAGCAATAACACTGCTGTACTTTCAGAATCATTACACAAGTTGTTGTTTTAGTTTCTGACAAGCAAGATCTGGTCCCCGATTCCTCTGCAGACCTTGTCTTGTTTGATCCAGAAATATTCAGGTAACTTTGAAGGAATATAGCTGGTAGTTGTAGCTTGCATCAAAAAGACAAGCGTCCATCAGGACACAGCGTGCAGGAAACACTCGGGCAACAGGCATGATTCCTTTGTCTTAATGTGGAGTCAGAGCCCCACAGGTGTTACACACCTTTAAATGAACTAATGTACTACTTGTTCATTATCTAATTACTGTATATTAAGTACCTCTAAAAACAATAACCTTCCAATACTGTCAGCTGTTTGGGAGCAATTAAAAAGGGTTCTGACTTCCAGATCTAGAAGAGTTCCTGATCTTTCACAGCCATTAGTTGGAAGGAAGCAAGACAAATGAAGAGTCCTGCTGTCCCCAGCAGCCTTTTCTCTAAAACACTCTCCAAAACATTTAAAATGTAATTGGAAAGGTACGAAGAGGGCACGGGCTAATGAAGTTCCACTGTTCAAGCTGTATGCACCTGCTGTCCCCCATGTGTTGGAATATGCCACCCTAGTATAATACTTGTAGGGAGAAATTAATTATAATATCCTTCCAACAATACGCCGAGCTGTCGCTCTGTAGCCTTTAATTTAGTCGTGGATTATTAAATGTTGCTCAGCCTTACCTTGAAGTCCTTGATCTCCATCAGGCCCATCAATACCTTGACCAACTGGTCCTTTATCTCCCTTTTCACCAGCATCACCTTTAATATAGATAGAGAACTTCAACAAGTTGCAGACTGCAGCCAAATCGGAGCACAGGAAGGGAAGAGGTCAAAAGGAACGCAAAATGCTCAGCACAGTGCTAGGAAACAGTTGTTTAGTCTCACCTCTGGGACCCGGATCGCCAAGTTCTCCTGTTGGTCCCCGATATCCAGGGGGACCACGAGCACCAGGATGCCCAATGCTTCCCATTGTTCCCGGAGGACCTGGGGGACCAGCGGGGCCAGGACGACCCGTCATTCCAGGAGATAACGGCTTTCTCAGATTAGCAGCTAACTGTGCAATTTGATCTGAAAAAAAAAAAAAACATTAAAAGAAATGTAAAACTGCACAGCCAGCATTTTCATCCTTTGCTGGGCTGTTTGTCATTTGCCACCAAGCGTGGTTAACTGAGGGAGCAGTTGAAAACCGAGTTTCTACTTTGGCAGAATTCTTGCTCTCTGCCACTCCTACACACGTACCATTTCTAGCAGAAGGAAACTAAACATTACAGATTATGTTATGCTAACTCTTTTTTTTTTTTTTTTTAAATAATAAATCTCTAGACACAGATGGAGATTTTGGTCAGCAATCTGTAGGTTTTTTAAGCCACTGATATTTCCTGCTTCCTAAATCAATTTAAAAGATTTTAAATATTCTAGAGAACAATACTTAAATTATTGAAACAAGTTTTCTGAAAAAAGCTTTCAGAGTTTAACGGCGTCCTAAATGGTCAACATAACCTCTAAATGCACAACAGCAGCGTCAAAGAAATCAGAACATTTCTGGTGAGCTTGGAGTGCTGCTGTAGAGAGTTGGGGTGTGCGGCAGAGGGGAGGGAAGAGCTGGGAGGATAGGAAGTTCAGAATGACAAAGGTGAGGGGAGATGCTCCCACAATCTAGTGCTTGCCAATATGCTTGTATGATAGTTGTGTCAAAGCTTCTTTTAATATGTTTGGCATGCTACCGTGATGAACAATTTCAAAATAATAAATGTAGAAAAATTAAGAATTTCCCAGACAACAAGATGACCTCCTGAATAACTGCTTTCCATTAAAGGTCAACCTATTTTACCCTATTAAAATAGAGAAATAATAAATCTCAGGGGCCATCTTAAATTCACGTTCTCCATATCTTCAGCTAAGTATGGTAATTAAAGTCAGTTTTCTCCCAGTAATACTCACCATTTATCATTTCCCCACAGAGTTCTCTTATATGTTGTTCACTGGCCTCTTTGCCCTGCAATTGAGAAAAGAATCCTGCCTTGTACAAATCCACGTTATTGATAATCATCTCTGACAAAGTTCAGGTCTCAAAACTCATTTCCAGCAGCTCAGTAATAAGAAGCATAGGGTCCCCCATGAGGATGAGGTCGTCTTCCCCCTGCCCCCCCCCCCCATGATAGCTTCAACTTAGAACTTGTCATGACCTTAATAGCAGGGGTTAATTTTAATGTTTGAGGCCAGATACTTAATCTTTAGTTTTAAAGGTTATTTGGCCTTTCCTGAACGATGAAACATTAGCTCTGGACAAAGACAGGTACCTAACATTTAGAGTAGCGAATAGGAGTTATATTTTTAAATTACTAACTTGTAACTCACTTTTCTAATAACAACAGTAACTTAACACGGCCCGTTCTAATGACTACAGAATACACTGTGAGAGAAGATTAATTCTCCAGGCTATGCATTTGGAAGTTTTGCTTTCAACTCCGAAGCTTGCAAACTGCATTAATCTTGTTGCACCGGTAACCTACTGCTGAAGGACTGTTAGCTGCGTGTGAGTTTACCTATTTTTGTCTGCTAAAATGCAGAACAAAACTTCATGCGTTTAATCGGCATCCGAAATCCACAGTCCATCTGTTCACTTTACTCACTCCTTGACTGTGCCCAAAAAGCAGATCGTACTTACAGGAGGGCCAGGTTTTCCTGTAATGCCGGGAACACCTTGCTCTCCCTGGAAGCCCATTGGCCCTGGATGACCTGGAATCCCTGGTACACCAGCAGTCCCATTAGGTCCTTGGGCACCTTTAGGACCAAGCTCGCCTCTTTTTCCTGGCTGTAATGAAGAAAAAGAAAAGGAGAAAAAGATTACAAAGGAAGACGTGGTCCGTTATTTTCTTAGAGGGATTAAATAAGCTTTTCTTCCTGGTTCCCTAACTGGTATGGCTGACCACGTGCGTTTCTTACATTACATGGGTGGTTTGACATATAGGTCATGATGATTAGAGTCCCATGTCCACGCTGCAAATTATCAAAACCTGTTTGAACCACGTGAATGCCACAGAGAATCCTCACTGTCACAGATTTTACAGCATGGCTGCGAGGAAAACGCGCTTCTAGGAAATGATGCCACAATGTAGTTTATGGAGATACCTCATCGAGATATGCAGTAAGCATGTTTACTCCCAAACCTTTCCGGGCATGAGTCTGCAGTGTCTGACACATACCTCTCCTTTTTGGCCAGGGGGACCAAAGGGACCCTATGGGAAATAAAAGAAAAATACGAAAAAAATGAGCGATTCAAAAAAGTGTACATCTGAATTAAATTTCCTACTCGCTAAGCTTTGGGAAACAGAGAAGACACGTACATAGCACCTAATAGGCTCTTCTAGTGAAGGTGCCAGGAACAATAACTGGATGTTAGAGACAATACAACAGGCCAGAGCACTTTTTGGTAACAGACTTGCACTATGAAGCGACGCTGAACGCAGGCATGGGCAACCCGGCTACGCTTTGAGATGGTCTAGACCTCCCTAGGAACAACAACGTTCACTTTGCCCTGCTGCTCTGAGGAGCAAAATGACAGAGCAGTGGTGATTAGCCAGGGTGAACTTTGCAGACCGTGGCATTTCAGGGCTTCCTAAAGACAAGCGCTAACGGACACAGTTGTCGGAAGGCTTGGGTTGCCTTTTCCTTTTCACAACCAGCAGCATAACGATGGCTCTTGGAGCTCTTGCATGGTTAATGCTGACTGGCCACATTAGTTCTTGATTCTTGGTTCTCCAGGCCCATCTATGTGAGGAGTCAATTCTACTGAATTTAAGGACACCTACCAGTTCTCCCTTGTCACCTGGGAGGCCATCTGCTCCAGCAATGCCCTGAAAGTGAGACACCAGCATTAACACCTCACGTACTGGTGCACAAAGGTTATTTCCCAGAAGGCCCACTCCTGGAGATGGGGTAGAGGCCTCAGCTTCTAAGGGAGATGGGCACACCTAGCAGCTTGTACAGCTCCTCCTGCAAGAGGAAGCTCTCTCTTCCCCAAAGCCAAACTCCACAGTAGCTGCTCCCCTGCTGACACTGGTACCCACAGTGGAAGGCAGCTCTCAGAAGACCCAGCTGCCCTTTGCCACAAGCTAGTACTTAGATGCAAGATGAAAGGCTGAATTCATATAGATGAGAACCCTGACTGGGCAATCACCAGAGACACCCGCAGGCAGGCGGTGACTCCTTCACAAGCACTCTGCAGTGGGAGCATTTTACCTGGCCCCCTCGGCCTCCGACAGGAAGCATCTGGAATGGGACTTTTTACAAGTTTCTTCCAGAGAACCTAAATTCAGGTTCCCCAGCTCTGGGACTGACAGAAAAGGTGGGTTTGCAGTGGCAGCTAAATATTCAGTGTCCAGTGCAGCTTCGTCCTCTAACTTTGGTCAGCACTCAGCAGAAAGAGTCCTCTCCAGAGCTGCTTCATTCCATCCTTCAACAGACATGATCCATCACCTTCCGGTGAGGACCCTCTCTCTGTGCTCGGTCTGGGGAGAGGCTTGGCAGCAGCTCAGTCTCAGCCCCTAACGCGAGGGTGGCTAAAGCTCTAGTGACGTGAATTTTACTAGCTGTGACGAGGACCCTCAATTTGTTGGTCACCTTCCCTCAAGCCAGCAGAGACGCCTGCAATTCGAGCATCGCTGGGACGACACGATTCATTGCGTGCTGCCACCACGGGCAGCTGCATGCACCGTTTCCTGATGCTGTGCTGAAGCAGCAGAGCTTGCACATGACACAGCAATTAGAGCACATAATGAACATTGTTATGGTGACCATACAGCTTTAGACAGGAAGTTATTTCAAGACAAACGGAGGTCGGATTGATCTTTCCCTTAGCAACATAACAAGAGATCACACGGCAACTGAAATCTGCAAATAAAACCAGCAATGCTTGTTGGAAAAGGGCTCAATTTTCTACAAAAACATAGTCATTCATTAGGGTAAGTCAGATATTTGATGCAAATTGGCTCAAACACTCATCACTGAGATTAATCCAAATATGGAAGTTAAGCAGCAAAAATTAAAAGATTAAATTAGTCTACTAGTCCGCTAAGCTTTGGGGCTAGGATGAATCCTCTTCACTAGTCACACGAATAACCCCAGTGAAACGCTGCACTCCTAAACTTACTTGGGGAACGAGTGCTGATTTTAGGAGCTTACGTATTGCATTACATACTACAAAATAAACAGCACCAGTCCGGCTTTTTATCGGAACAAAAAGTGTTTTGTTGGTATCTGCTCCACTTTTGCTTTAAGGGAAGGAAAAGCAGGCCGCGGCTAAAGTACAGTTTAACTGTTGATTACAACGTGAAGTTATCGTAGAAGGAAGACGAGCTGCGCTTACCTGGTTACCTTTGGGACCAGTAACGCCGGTAGGACCCTGAGAACGAGCAAAAGAAGGTGAGTGAGCTCCAACTGTTATTTTCCTGTAAATTCCTGGTGCAGTCAGATACTCGCTCAAACAGCGGAGGGTAGGAATTAGTCTCCTTATCACCGAGGAGGAGGGACCGAGTCTCATTCACGTTTCTTAGAAATAAGAAGCGCGGTGCAGGGGAGTTTCTCCGGCCCCACGTCACACCAGCCACCACGCAGGGTCGCTGCAGGAGCGGCGCTTCCCGCTGGAACCGGCCACCTCCTGCCCCAGCCCCTCCACCAGCCTCCTTCGCTTCCTAAATAAAACTAAAATGACTTCTGTGCGTTTAATCCCGTTTTTTCTTTTTCTTTTTTTTTTTTTTTTTAAATCTGTTTCACAAAAGTCATCTTTTTCCAGACATCCCAGGGGCAGGAACCCTTTTTCCCTTCTGCCCATCTATTTTTCATTATTTTCATCTTGCTATCATGACTGAAACAGCAATTTTACAAATTACAGGACAAGGTCCAGGATGAGACTGGTGGGTGATTGATCTCTCCTTTTCACACCTGATGATGGGAAAAATGGATTGAATTTTACCCATGATATAAAACGGTTGCAAAAGTTTTTGTTCCACAAGGGCAAAAAGTCAAGACGTTTTTTCAAGGCCTCCTTAGACTGTCAGTTTTTGTGGGTATTTAGAGTTCGCTACTGCTGACTTTGAGATCCCCAGAACAACCAAAGAACACGTCCACAGGACTGAAATACATCTAGTTGATGAACCAAGGAGAGGCAATTATCATCCCAGGAATAATTTTAGGAGTTTGAAAAATCCTTCCAAGTTTAACTGTGTCCTCCTGGCGCTCACAGAGAGGGAACGAAACATTTCCGGCCCCCGCTCTGCAACTTTGGGTCCATTTAGCAGAGCCAGAAAGGAGTACAGGAAACCCCAGACTTCCTTCTCTGGTGCAGAACCTGTAGGACAAATTCAACCACTTTCCCCTTTGAACAGGACTTCTGCAGCACATTCATCAATCCGGCATCTGCAAACTGACATTTTCAGTACCTAGGTCTGGAGGTGGCTCAGCAGAACAGAGCGTTAATGGAGGAGAAACTCCCGTAATACGGGCACGTCATTCTGCTTTAGTCAAGCACTGAATAAATGGGGAAAAAAAAAAGTGGGGGGGATTTCTCTTAAAGAAAAAATAGTTCTCTGCAAAAGAAGATAACAGGAGGTAGAAATACAACAATGAATAGACCATTTGTAACTCCCATTTTATGTGTGCCAATGGCAAATGCAATATATTATTTTCTGACCATTTTTTTGTCATCCAGATTTATACTTCCAAATTCATGAAGTCCCAACGCTCCATGACAGTTTACGGCAATGAAATAAAGCTCAGTCACCAAAGACCGTGCCCCACGAGGAAGGCTCCCTCAGAGAAAAGCTCAGCCCTAAATATTTTGATTCAAAACCGAGTAATTTTCCACAGCAGCACTTCCTAGCAGCAGGAAACAGTGACAAGAATTTAATGGCCCTGAGAACAACCAGTTCCACATTGACTGGCTGTCCTCATGTTTTTGTCACTCCATCAGCTAACTGCAATTAGCGCTTTTCTCCGGGCATGTTGTATGTCAGCGTGGGGCGAAGAACCGCCGAGAGAGACGTCACCCCAGACCGTTGCAGCGTTCAGAATTCCCAGGACTTTGTTCTTCATAAAAATCCTCAGGAAAAATGTTTGCCTGTTTCCACCTCCATCAGCAATAACTGTCAAATCTGCTTTCTCCCCCCTATCCCACATCAACAGCAAGATGTTGTTTATATATAATCTCAATGCTGCTGTTTATCTTATGGTCCACTGCACTAAACTCTTGTATCCTTCACGCAAGAACAATAAACTTATTGATATGCTGGTTTACATCCTGGACACAGCCAGTCCGAGGACTGTGAAAAAACATGTCAGTACCTGTTAACTCAGGCCGGTAGGAATCATTTTTTGCAAAGAAAAAAACCCAGCCACAATCGATTTCAGTGGAGTGTGCAGGGTCGGACGCAGCTGGGGTGACAGGACCGTATTGATCCCGTGTTTGCTGTTACCGTCTTTCTTTATGTCGGGACGGCGTGCCAGCCTGGCCGCCAGCGGCGCAAACCCAGCGCGGCGTCGGCCGTGCTCTCCGCTCACCCCACAGCAGACGTCATCGCCCCCAGCAAGCAGGGCTGTTTCTTTAAGATATAAAGACGTGTCCTGAGGTTTGGGAGTCTCCCCAGTCCAAATCTTGTGCCAAGTAGGAAGAGC